CCTCCTTCAGCTACACCTTCCGCGGCGACCCCCACGCCATGTTCGCCGAGTTCTTCGACGGCCGCAACCCCTTCGACACCTTCTTCGTGCAGCGCAACGGCGATGACGACATGGACGTCGACGACGCCTTCACCACCTTCCACATGGGCGGCTTCGGCAACGTCGCCTTCCCCCGCTCGCGCGGCGCCCAGGAGGGCGTCTGCCGCAAGCAGGATCCCCCCGTCCTCTACGATCTCAAGGTCTCCCTGGAGGAAGTTTACACCGGCTGCACCAAAAAGATGAAGATCTCCCACAAGCGCCTCAATCCCGACGGCAAGACGGTCAGGAACGAAGACAAAATCCTCACCATCGAGGTCAAACGAGGTTGGAAGGAAGGAACCAAGATCACCTTCCCCAAGGAAGGAGACCAGACGCCCAACAACATTCCCGCTGACATCATCTTTGTCGTCAAAGACAAACCGCACAACGTTTTCCGCAGGGAAGGCTCGGACATTATCTACCCGGCTAAAATCAGCCTCCGTGAGGTGAGTCAAGGGTGGCCGGAGCTGCTGTCGGCCCCGTTTTGGCCGCGGGATGAGGTGGGGGGGGGGACGTGATACCGGCGGTTCGACCCCGTGTGACGGGGTGCTTTCGGTGACCCGACGGTTGTTCTGTAACGCCGTTTATCTCCCCGCTTCAGGCCCTGTGCGGCTGCACGGTGAACACTCCCACGCTGGACGGCCGCACCATCCCCATGGTCTTCAAAGACGTCCTGAAACCCGGCGTGAAGCGGCGCATCCCCGGCGAGGGCTTACCTTACCCCAAGACCCCCGAGCAGCGGGGCGACCTCATCATCGAATTTGAGGTCAAATTCCCTGACCGCATTCCTCCTGCTTCAAAAACCATCCTGGAGCAGGTCCTGCCCATATAGCGCCTCCGCTTTAAGGACTTGGCTAGAGCTCGAGGTGTGGTGGTTTCTTTTATTTTCTCTTTTTCGGGAGGGGACCTCAAATTCCCTGACCGCATTCCTCCTGCTTCAAAAACCATCCTGGAGCAGGTCCTGCCCATATAGCGCCTCCGCTTTAAGGACTTGGCTAGAGCTCGAGGTGTGGTGGTTTCTTTTATTTTCTCTTTTTCGGGAGGGGACCACAACTGGGACTCCCACCGCCTGGATTTTCGTCGTGCGGGTCCAACCCCGACTTCCGGGCCAACCGCTGCCCCCCGACGATGGTGGCTCGGAGCCCTCCGGTGGTCTTCCC